ATTGGATTTTTTAAATAACTTGAACTCAGCAAGTGAATAGGTATACCACAGTTTTATTGCTACGAAAGTTTTTCAGCATTGTGTTTTTAGAAATTTCATTGGGGGCTGGAGCAATAGCACAGCGGGTAGGGCATTTGCCTTGCACGTGTCCGACCCGGGTTCTATTCCCACCATCCCATATGGTCCCCTGAGCACTGCCAGGAGTAATTCCTGACTTCAGAGCCAGGAGTAACCCCTGTGCATTGCCAGATGTGACCCAAAAAGCAAAAAAAAAAAAAAAAAAAAGAATTTTATTGGGAAGAGAATGAAGCACAAAGCAGTTCTTTTAGGTTTGTTAAAGGTGTATTTTGAGTGGGACTGTGCAGGAGATAAGGTGCTTGCTTTGCATGTGGCTAACCCCTGTTTGATCCCCAGCACCACATATGAACACCAGCAGGAATGATCTTTGAGCATTATGCCAGGAGTAGCTGCTGAGCACTGCTGAACGGGACCGATCTCCCCACCCACTCCCCAACCAAAAACAAACCATTTATTTTGGTGATATGTACTCTAATTAATTTGACTCTATTGATTATATTCTACATTAGAATTGGTTTTGATATTTTGGGGCTTCCCCAGCAGTGCTGGGTCTCTGTGCAGGCCAGGCATGCACTCAAGTCTTTTGAGCTGTCTCATTGGTCCTGTGTTGGACTTTTTTTTTTTTTTTTTTGCTTTTGGGGTCACACTCAGCAATGCACAGGGCTTGTTACTCCTGGCTCATGTACTCAGGAATTACTCCTGGCGGTGCTCAGGATGCTGGGAATCGAACCCGGGTCGGCTGCAACAGATGCCCTACCTGCTGTGTTACTGCTCCAGCCCCCTGTGTTGGACTTTTTTTTTTTTTTCTTTTTGGGTCACACCCAGAGGCGGTGCACAGAGGTTACTCCTGGCTCTGCACTCAGAAATTACCCCTGGCCGTGCTCAGGGGACCATATGGGATGCTGGGAACTGAACCCGGGTTGGCTGGGTGCAAGGCAAACGCCCTACCCGCTGTGCTATTGCTCCAGTCCCTGTGTTGGACTTTTAAAAGACACAATTACTGGTCAACCTAAGACGTTGGAAAAACTTACATAATTCATCATTGATTCAAATAGAATTCTAGGGGCTGGAGCAATAGCACAGCGGGTACACGCGGCTGACCCGGGTTTGATTCCCAGTGTCCCACATGGTCCCCTGAGCACCTCCAGAGGTAATTCCTGAGTGCAGAGCCAGGAGCGACCCCTGTGCATCACCGGGTGTGACCCAAAAAAAGCAAAAAATAAAAAATAAAATAGAATTCTAAGCATTAGGCTTTGAAACGGGAATTTCCTTTTAGTCGGTGAGCTATTACTGTGTTCTAAGCACTTTAGAGAAAGTTCCTGCCCTTGTTGCTCATTATCTAGTGATAATTGCTCATCAGTAAAAACCGATGGGTCACAAATTACTGAGTTTCAATTTTTATAAAATGAGGTCAGTGCCATGATTGGTTGTTTTTATTTTTTTCCATAATATTTTTCCAAGTATTGCATGTGCTTACATTTGTTTTTAAAAATAAAATATCTATGGGGCTGGAGCAATAGTGCGGTGGATAGACACTTGCCTTGCACACACCCAACCTGAGTTCAGTCCCTGGCATCTCATTTGGTCCTCCAGGTACCACCAGAAGTAATTGGAATAATTATTGAGTGCAGAGCCAGGAGTAACTATCCCTGAGCATCCCTTGGTTTGACCCCCCAAAACAAACAATAAATTTTTTAAAAATCTAGAAATACAGGGCTGGAGCAGTAGCACAGCGGGTAGGGCATTTGCCTTGCATGCAGCCGACCCGGGTTCAATCCCCAGCATCCCATATAGTCTCCCGAGAACTGCCAGGAGTAATTTCTGAGTGCATGAGCCAGGAGTAACCCCTGTGCATTGCCGGGTGTGACCCAAAAAGCAAAAAAAAGAAAAAAAATCTAGAAATTCACACACACACATACATACACATAAATCTCCTTTTTAATCCTTCCCCACTAGTTTTTTTCAGGGCATTTCCCCAAAATCAGTGCCTCATACTTGTTCTTCCAAGCATTTTCTTTTAAGTAAAACCACATTTCTCTTTGCCGTCTTGCTTCTTTCCACTTTCTTGGTCTTTCCTATTTGATGTAACTTCTAGATTCTTTTTCTTTGCATTTACATTGGTATAAATATACCTGTAGAACATATAAATAGGTGTAATTAACATGCTGTATTCCTGAAATTCTGTAGTCCCTAACGCCCACTATTGATAATTATAAGAAATTAAAGTGACAAGTATACCTATAAGATGCCATAGGTTATTGAACCTACTTGATTTTTATGAAGGTGAAGTGTTGGGGCTGCAGAGATAGTACTGGGGATAAGGCCTTGTACATGACTGACCCTGGTTTGATCTCTAGTATCACATGTCATCTCCTGAGCACTGCCAGAAGTGAATCCCTGAGCACAGCAGTGTCTGGTGCCCTTTTTCCCCTCCAAGAAAAGATGAAGTGTGCGGTGGTGATGCAGAAGTGTGTGCTCGGAATTGATGGAATATATTGTGTGCCATTTCCATGTATAATTTTTTGTAATTTCTTTTGATAATGTTCCCTGTCAAGTCTGGTAGTCAACATACACCACGTTTTCCACTGTGCAGTATTGTTGAGTCTTTTCTAACAAGAAAACTACCATAATGAGTACTTTTGTAACTGCTTCCTATATTACACATTAGGGAGTACTTAGGAATTCGGGAGTGCCTGTGTTATATAGAGATGCATTGGAATTTTTGTTTTTGATGTTTTGGCACCGCACCCAACTTATGCCCAGGGGTTACTCCTGCCTGTGCCCTCAAGGATTACCTGGAGGTGCACCGGGGACTCTTAGAAATACGGAGGATTAAACCTGGGTCAGCTGTGTGCAAGGCAAGCGCCTCACCTGCTATACTATCTTTCCAGTCTCTGTTATTCTTTTATTTATTTATTTTTTAACTTGGTCAAGAAGGGTGTCTTGATATCTGTTTTTATTTCTATTTTTCTTGACCAATGAGGTTGAGCATCTTGGGACTCTTTGCGACGCTAGAAATCGAATGCAAGGCCTCATGCATGCAAGGCAGATGCTGCACTGATGAGCTACATCTCTTACCCCACGCGTTGAAATTCTTTTCTACTGTTTCTTTTTACCCATATTCTCTCACCATTGATGATTTTACTTTGGAGATGACTGTGTCCATATCTTAACTTTCTGCCCACCCCCACCCGTTTTTGAAATGTGAATATCTATTCATCAGTAGTTCTGCCATTTATGAAAGAAGCAGAGCTGTTCCCTGAGAAACAGGAGTCCCCATTTTCCCATACCACTTTTGATTGTTGATGGTAGTAAAGTCTTTCCAGGTTAAACTGACTTAAATTTCCCATTGGACACCTGCCTTGTCAGCCATAATATGAAGGGAAAGGGTCTAATTAGTTTCTTTTCTTTTTTTTTTCTTTTTTTTTTTTTCCCTTTTTGGGTCACACTCAGTGATGCACAGGGATTACTCCTGGCTCATGCACTCAGGAATTACTCCTGGCAGTGCTTGGGGGACCATGTGGGATGCTGGGAATCGAACCCGGGTCGGCCGCATGCAAGGCAAACGCCCTACCCGCTGTGCTATAACTCCTGCCCCTAATTAGTTTCTAATAGTCTGTTACCTCTAAAACATTCGTGAACAGAAAGATTTAAATGGTTGCACCACTAGGAAATATCTGAGATAAGATTTAAACAAACTGATTCCAAAGCCCGTTCTGTGTCAGGTTGCCTCAATGAGATAGATGTGTTTTGAATATAGCCTTTGAAAGTATGTGTGATCTCTTACAATAGGAAAAGTGATTTTTCTTTTTCTCTTTTTGGGTCACACCCAGCGATGCACAGGCGTCACTCCTGGCTCATGCACTAAGGAATTACTCCTGGTGGTCCTTGGGGGACCATATGGGATGTTGGGAATCAAACCCCGATTGGCCGCGTGCAAGGCAAATGCCCTACCCACTGTGCTATCGCTCCAGCCCCTAAAAGTGATTATTATAAAATCATTTTTTAAATGTTAAAAATATTCTTGTACATTGTTGATTCTTTCACAGTGCTAGAAGTCAAACCCAGATCTTTTACACATGTGAAGCATGAATTCTACCACTGAGCAATATAGCCCAACCTTGCTCATTGTTTGTTAATATATGTAAAAGATGTCACATGATAGGGCTGGAGCAATTGTATAGTGTGTAGGGTGCTTGCCTTGCACACCAATGACCTGAGTTTGACTCCCAGCATCCTATACAGTCTCCTGACCCCTACCAGCAGTAAAACCTGAGCGCAAAGCCAGGAGTAAGTCTAAAGAACCACAGAACCACAGAGCATCAAATGATGTACTTTGTTGTTGTGGGGCATGGGCACCTGGTGGTGTCCAGGGCTTATTCCTGGTGGTGCTCTGGTCTTTCCTGGCTCTGCGTTCAGGAATCATTCCTAGTGGAGTTGGGGGACCATATAGATGCCAGGGATCAAACTTGGGTCAGCCTCATGCAAGGCAACACTCTACCTGCTGTACTATCACTCTGGCCCCACATAATGAGCTTTTCAATGAGCTTGACTGCAGCCTGTCAGACTGATTTCTGTGCAGTAGTTCAGACATAAGTAATTAAAAAGAAATCCAGGGCCAAAAAGAAAGTACAGCAAGTCCCCGAACAGCACTAGGAGTGAACCCTGAGTGCAGTTCCAGGAGGAAGCCTTGAGCATTGCTGAATATCAGCCCCCTTCCCCCCCCCAAAAAAAAAACCAAAAAGCATAAAGGGTTCCTGCTTTAGACTCTATTACAATTTAATAATAAGGGGAATTTTATTATAGTAGTGTTTATGACTGTTCTAGGCATTTGTAATGTAGCAAAACTTCCATATTTTGTGCTGAAAATGATGTATTTTGCCAGTGCTAATTGTTTTCTTTGTGTTTCTTTTTTCTCATAGAAAAAGATTGCAAAGCATTTCATCCAACTTATGAAGAAAAATTGAAACTTGTGGCCCTGCATAAGCAGGTTCTTATGGGTCCATATAATCCAGACACTTGTCCTGAGGTTGGATTCTTTGACGTACTAGGGAATGACAGGAGGTAACAGAGTTTTGTTGTATAAAAAAGTTAATAAGAAAAATATTGAAAAGGGTACACAGTGAATGATTGAAATGCAAATAGCTGGATATGAGCTTAGAATAAAAACTAAAATATTTCTGCAATCTTTATATGATTATCAGGTTTTGGTTTGGAAGTTATTGGTTTGTTGTTGTTGTTGGAGTTTTTATGGTTAAATATTGTGGAAGAAGTTTGCTTATCTGATTATGAAAATCAAATAAGCAGTTTCATTTTGGTTCTTCATAAATAATGAGCTATTTAGGACCAGAGAGATAGTACAGTGGAGTAAGATGCTTGCCTTGTACATGGCTGGCCTAGGTTTGATTCCCTGGCACTATATATAGTACTGGAGCCCACTAGGAGTGGTCCCTGAGCACTGCCAGGTATGGTCTCAAAACAGAACACATTTTTGTTTTTTAATTTTCTTTTTGTTGTTGTTTCCACCTGTCTACCAAAACCAAAAAAAAAAAAAAAATGCATTTATTCTTTTGTTTTCCAGCCACACCAGACAATACTCAGTGGTTACTCTTGGTTCTGTGCATAGGAATTACTCCTGGTGCTTGAGACTATATAAGGTGACAGAGATTGCATCCAGTTCAGCTGCTTGCAGGGCAGGCACCCTACCCACAGTATCACTCAGGTCCCCCAAAAACCAAATCTTTTAAGTTAAAAATAAAAGTTATTTAAAATGTTTAATAATTGATGTCCTTATTTTGGGGACAGATGAAAAAATAATACATCAAATATTCAATTGAGACTAAATAGTGGTGTAAGGAAAATTAGACATTGATGCCCTTTGGCTAATTTGGCTATTAACAGCAGTGGAGTTACAGGTTTTTGGTGTTTTGTTTATTTTTTTATTGCTACCACCCGGGAGCACTTCCCCCGCCCCCCCCCATTACAGGTTTATGACAGTAAGTTTGTATATTGCTTACTAATTTAATAAATGAATACATGTTAAAACTTGAAGTTTTGATCCTTTTGCTTATAATAGTTCTTCATTTATGATATTGCAGATTGTTTGTATCTAAGTTGAAATTCACTCAGGTTATGTTACATAGGCTCTAACTTGCTGCTGTTGTTCCTTTCAGGAGAGAATGGGCAGCCCTGGGAAGCATGTCTAAAGAGGATGCCATGGTAGAGTTTGTCAAGCTCCTAAATAGGTGTTGCCATCTCTTCTCAACATACGTCACGTCCCACAAAATAGAGAAGGAAGAACAAGAGAAAAAAAGGTGATGTTTAAGGACAAGGCCTGATTATCCCGGTGATTTGGTGGTTTTGCTCTCATGGAGCATCAGTTCTAGATTAAGTAAATGTCTTACTTCCCTTAGATTCCCACTACTGCAGCTGCTCAGACATCTTGATATGGACAGGGATTTATCTTGTGAGTTTGGAGAAAGGAGGTTGCTGCTGCTTCTACGTTTTAAAAAAGAATCACCCATCCTATGGCAGCACTCCTTTCCTGATAAGCTAAGTTTTTGAGTGAATTCTATCATAAACTCTACTCCTTACCCCTTACCTGCTGCTCTGGAGTTTTTATGGCTAAATGTTGTGAAAGAAGCTTATTTACCCTGTTTACAAGCCTAAACTAAGCACAGTTTCAATCGATAATGTTCCATATCATGGTTATCAGCATTTCAGGGGCTCAAGAGGGAGCTGCTGAACGTGCTATTCATATTTACGGAATTCTCTATTTACTGTTGTAAATTCAGAAAAATTATAAGGTAAGGTAAAGGCCCTCCCGTTGATCGTCGATTTGCTCGAGCGGGCCCAGTAACGTCTCCATTGGAGACTTTGTTGTTACTGTGTCTGGCATATCGAATACTCTCAGTAGCTTGCCGGGCTCTCCAAGAGGGGCGGAGGAATCGAACTCGGGTCGGCCATGTTGGCCGCGTGTAAGGCGAACGCCCTACCCGCTGTGCTATCGCTCCAATAGCTAGCACTTTTTTATCTAGATGTAATTCAGAGTTTCTGATTATTTAAAATTTTAGGTAGTGGAATGATGCTGTCTAGATCCAAAGCAGTAGTAGAGTGAGTTGGGCACTTGCCTTGCACACGGCCAATTCATTGGTTTCATCCCAGGAGCCACATACGATCTATGGGCCCCACCAGGAGTAATCCGTAAGTTCAGAGCCAGGAAGAAGTGTGAGTGCTGCTGGGTATGACCCAATTTCCCCTCCCCCTCAAAAATTAAAAAGCACATTTCTTTCACATTATATTATACTTTTAAGATGATTGTTGGAGCAGTAGCATTACAGGTAGGGTACTTACCTTGCACATGGCATAGCCCACTCAGGTTCAATCCTCTGTACCACATATGGTCCCGTGAGCCCTACCAGGAGTGATTCCTAAATGTAGTGCCAGGAGTAAACCCTGTGTACCGGAGGGATAGTACACGCTTGCCTTGCTTCCAGTCAGCCAACCCAGATTTGGTCCCCAGCCCCCAGTGTGTTCCCCCATGCCTACCAGGAGAGATCCCAGAGTGCAGAGCCAGGAGTAAAGTCCTGAGTACTTTCAAATACCCACTCTCCTCACAAAAAAAAAAAAAAAAAAAAGGTTTCTCACTTTAACCTAGATTGGAAATAACATTAGAAAAGAAAATATCTTGAACTGAGAATCATGAAAGTGTGGCATTCAGAGATCATTTGGTGTGAATGTAAACTTCTCTGTCATAGTACAATACATAATTATAATTCCTAAGTCATGAAAAGGTAAAGCACTAGGCTGGGGGTGTAACCTAGCCAGTGGTAGAGTGAAAACCTTACATGTCTGAGACCCTGGGTTTCATCCTCAACACTGCTCCCTCACCCCAAAAAGAAAATAGAGAATACAATGTAGTTTATGTTTAAGAGGTTAGGAAATCCCTTAGTACATTATTAGAAGCTATTTAGCCAAAGGAAGATTTTGTTTTGTTTGGGGATCAAACAATGCTCAGGGGTTACTCCTGACAATGCTTGGGGAACCATATGGGACACCAGGGATCGAACCCAGGCTGACTGCATGCAAGGCGTGTGCCCAACCTTCTGTAATATCCCCCTGACCCCAAAGAAAGATTTTTTTTTTAAATAAAAGAAAACCTTTGAAAAGAGTAAGATAAGGTTATGTCCACTGTGTTGTGATGTGATGTATAGTGCTTTATGGAAGTATGTTTCTTAAGTTATCCTTTTAATAATAACTTGATTACTAGTGATCTTAAAATATAAAATAAATATTTTCCTTTTAAAATTACTCTTTTCGGAACTGGAGCAATAGCACAGCAGGTAGGGCATTTTCCTTGTATGCAGCCGACCCTGGTTCAATTCCCAGCATCCCATATGGTCTCCTGAGTACCGCCAGGAGTAATTCTTGAGTGCAGAGCCAGGAATAACCCCTGTGCATTGCCAGATGTGACCCAAAAAGCAAAAAAAAAAAAGAAACCCATATATAATTTTATCAAAACTTTCACTTCATTTAAAGAAGTGACTTTCAACTGCTAGATCCCCAGACTGGTGCCAGTCCACAAGGTGTGAATGGATGGTGTTGAAAAGCACTGATTTATAGAATTTAAAATGGGGCTGGAGTGACAGCAGGTAGGGTGTAAGTATTTAAAACTAGATAGGTCTCCTCTGTCCTCAAGATTAAACTCAGACTTGTGAAACATCTTGCTTTGTTCTAATTTTGATACATTGAACTCAGTTATTTTATGCCCTGGCTATGGCTTAGGTGTGTTGCTGATCACTTACAGGACTAGGGAAAGAAAAGTATGATAACTCAGACGGCTCTAGTGGTAGGGCCAAGAAATGGTATCATGTCTGAGGATCCTCGGAAGTCTTGTTTATGTGTTTTCCTGCCACGCTTAAATCAGAATAGCATCCATTTCTAGTGTAGCAGAATCTCTCAGGAAAGGGACTGGGGTTAGGGGACGTGGGGAGGGGCCAGTGATAGCTGTTAGAGCTGCACCCAGATTTTTCAACTGTTTTTTCTTTTAAAGTCAAAATGTAAGCTCGAATTGTTATTTAAGTTTAATTTAATCATTATTTTTCCTCCCCTCTTTCCCTTTGTTGCTGCTGTTGCCGTCACCAGGGAGGCTTGGCTGTAGTGGTCAAAGTCTTGGTTTTGGGGGTAGGGAGATAGCTCACAGGACTTGCAGGACTGATACAGGTGTGCTGCAGGTTCGATACCCTGCAGGGCCTGAGTATCTCCAGGAGTGGCCCTGGAGCCCCTGATCATAGCACTACAAGTTCTTCTTTTATACTTCTTGCTAGCTGCAATAAAATCTGTGCATTAAATCTAGCGGCATACATTTCTGACCCAGTATTAAGCACGTTACTTAAGGGCAGAGGTGCCTGGTTCAATTCACTGCATCTTCAAAATTTAACATCTTGCTGGGAAGATCAAGAACAACAACTGTATACAAGAATACTCTGTACTGAAATGCCATGAAACCATTAAAAAAAGAGAAAAAAAAAAGGAACAGAACTATATAGTCTAAAAGAGAAAGGTCATTTTGGGAGGGGTTTGTTTGTTTTGGGATATACTCCTGGTGGTTTCAGAAATCAAAACAGGGCTTTCTGCATGCAAAGCATGAAGGTGTTAGCCATTGAACTATTTCCTGTCCCAATAAAGACGTTTACTACATCTGTTCAGTGAAAAAATATTGGTAACATCTCAGAAAACAGCCTGAGAAGATGTAAATTACAGGTGTTAGCTATTATGTATGGGAAGAAGAGCACGATAAAAAGTGAGGTGGGGAGGTTGGGGACATGGCTCAGAGGGCCCCAGCACATGCTTTTGCATGCAGGAGCCCCAGCACTACACAGTCCCCTGAGCACTTCCAGGAATAACTCCTGAGAACCAAGAAGGGAGTAGCTCCCCTGCAGTAATAGTAGCTCCCCCCAAACAAAAATCTGCTACGAGCACCTGGCCTTGTAAACGAGAGTCCTGAGTCAGACTCCTGGTGCTGCCCCAATTCATTCCTGGCAGCCCTGCTATCTGGGACCCCTGGTGAGCATAATAACCAGAATGTGAGGCTGGAGCGATAACTTTAGCAGGTAGGCATTTGCCTTGTGTGTGGTTGATCCGGGTTCAATCCCTGACATCCCATTTTCTACTGCTGTGTAGCCATAATTGTCCTTCCTGTGATCTTGCATATTATGAGATAGACATCATACGATACAGTTCTACTAAGAGGTATTTTGGGTTTTGATAATACCACATTGTTCTCCCAAAAGTATCAGTTTTCACTAAGAAATAAGTCAAGTTATTTTTAAACAGATTTCTGGATAGGGCTTATTCTCTTTTCTTTGCAGGAAAGAAGAGGAGGAGAGAAGGCGGCGTGAAGAAGAAGAAAGAGACCGTCTGCAGAAGGAGGAAGAGAAACGTAGGAGAGAAGAGGAGGAAAGACTTAGACGGGAGGAGGAAGAAAGGAGGCGAATAGAAGAGGAGAGGCTTCGACTGGAGCAACAGAAGTAAGCTGGTTGGCTGGTGAGACTGAAGAATGAGAAGTGTACTGTCATGTCTCGTTGCTTGGCTTGTTATCATTGTGTCTGTTTAGAATGCTTTGTTTTTTTTGGTATAACTGCAAAGTTGACTAATATTAGTTGTTTGCCATTTGTTCCAAAGGTTTTTTTTTAGAGTACTCTAATACCCGTGCGTATTGGGAAGGATTTAGGATGAGCTCCAGCATCCAGGATTGGAGCACGAGCTGAATTGTCTTGCCATCTTTTCTGGGTCCACACGATCTCTTCTCTCAGTTTAATTCTGCTTTATTCTTCCGATTCTCTGCAAATTGGTGGTCTGCTTTGGCATACATAGGGCTAGTCTAGCCCAAATTATGATAGTCTGTTTTCATGGATATGAGAGAAGTTGGCTGAAATATGGGAGATCCAGTTAGTTACAAGTTTGCAGGACCGAGAAATCCATTACTAGTGTCTCCTCCTAGTATAGGACTTTGAAGCTGAAGACTTTTCTCTTCCTTAAGGATTGTGGGAACAACTCTCAGAAGGAACTGTTTCTTCAGACGGGATTTATATCCACAGTACACAGTGGGGAGAAGACCTGAGGTTCTCTGAGTGTTGAGACATAGAGTTGAAACACGAGAATATGAGGCTCCACTTTTTTATTTCCGCTTTATCTTTGAGTAGTTCCTTAGGAAAGCTTTAGTTCTATTCTCAAACTGACCCAGAGCTTCATCTCTTTGGAGTAAACCTGTGATTACTCTTTGGGGGCAGGGGAGTGCCCTAAATGGATCCAGCACTTCAGGAGTTAGTGACGTTGCTTTTGAAATGTGTTCATTATTGGATGGCTTTGAGATCTTTGTTAAAGCAGGTCACATACTGAGTTACGAAGCATGTTGTAGTTCTTCTAGGAAGGAAAATTAAAAAGGATTAAAAGTTTGAATCTTTAAAAAAAAAAAAAATTGAGTCTTAAACCAAGTGTGCCCAGATTTGTTTGTTTGTGGCCACATCTGGCAGTGCTCAATACTTAACTTCTGACTCTGCACCAGGGGCTCCACTCCTGGTGGACCCCAGGGATTATGCTAGGGTCACACCCATGTCAGCTGCGGGCAAGGCAAGCCCTTTACCTGCTGTACTATCTCTCCTGTCCTGTAAGGTTGCTCTTTCTTATTTATTAGGCTTTTAATGAAATGTTTGAGATCCTTAAGATTTTGCTGGGGCCCATGCGATAGTGCAACTGGGAGGGTGTTTGCCTTGCACACAGCTGACCCAGGTTCAATTCCTAGCATCCCATATGGTCCCTCATTCCCACCAGGTGTAAGACCTGAACCTGCTGGGTGTGGCCCCCCCAAAAAAGTAAGTTTTCATTGACTTTATTTATTTCCAGTAGCACTTATAACATTATTTTGTTTGGTTTTGGTTTTGGACCATACCCCACTGTACGCAAAGTTTTCTTCTGGCTCTGTGTTCAGGGACCATCTTGGTTGGGCTGGGATCATATGGGGTGAAGGAGATTGAGCCCAGATTGGCTGTGTGCAAGGCAAGCACCCTGCCCTCTATACTCTCTCTGGCCCGAGCCCTGCTTTTAGGTAGAGGAGCCACAGCCACTAGTCAAATATGTCATCTGTCTCTTAGCTACCTTCCTTTCCCCTAAAGCATCCTGGTTAAAGAGATGAGCTAGAGCCACCAGGCTTACACTTGACTCCTCGCCCTGGCATATTAGCAATGTAATCTTGTGCAAGCTACTGAATGCCATCACTTTCTCCTTTATGAAGCCTTCCCATGGGGTGGCACTGGGAACTGAGGGCTTAGTGCATGGAAATGCTTTAGGGTTTTTTGTTGTTTGTTTCCTTTGGTTTGGTTGGTCTCTTTTTTTATTTTTTTTGGTTTGGGCTTTTGGACCATACATGGTGTTGCTTGGGACCTCTCCCAGCTTGCTACCCAGGTGTTGTTACAGCAGTGCCCAAGGGACCAAGGCAGAATAAGGGTTTTGAACAGGCCTCCCATAATGGAAGCATGCACACTAGCCCATTGAGTCTCCCCAGCCCATGGGAGTGCTTTGGCCATTGAAGAGCACCTAGTATGGGCACAGGAAAAGCTGGCACTTATGACAATAGTAATGGTGTGGGTGAAATGCTTGTTCTCCCTCTGCAACCCAAATGTTACGTGGCAACCTTAATGAAAAATCAGATTCCAAGTTCAATTTTCTTATGTCTTTCTTCTGGGCCTGGAACACATCCTGATTGATATACATTACTAGTTTAGTCATTTTTTGAAAGTTACACATTCTAAAATTAAAAAGGATATTTTATTTTGTCATGAAAAACCTCCTATAGTCAGACTAGTATATATATATATATATATTTTAATGTTTTTAGGCAGCAGATAATGGCAGCTTTAAACTCCCAGACTGCCGTGCAGTTCCAGCAGTATGCGGCCCAGCAGTATCCAGGGAACTACGAGCAACAGCAAATTCTCATCCGCCAGTTGCAGGAGCAGCACTATCAGCAGTATATGCAGCAGTTATATCAAGTCCAGCTTGCACAGCAACAGGTATGCTAGACAACTGTAGGTTTCAGCCTTAGGGGGTGTTTTAGTTCACTGAAAGCAATTTCTTTTTAGAGAGTTGCTAATAAATTTTGTATTAGTCTCTAAAGTCTAAGTAACTTCTAGGTGATATTTATTAATGGAGATCTTAGCATTGCACTGGCAATTATGAAAGAGAGTATATGGTATTGAAGCACTAAATGAAGTTGCCACTATTTTATTCTGCTAAAGGCATTTGAGAGTTGTCTGAACTAGTATATTAACATAGACGTTGATAGTGGAATTGGAGTCATGAGCACTTGGGTGACCAGTTAAAGGACATTTGATAGGTTCAGGCAACTTCCGGGAGGGGGCCCCATCGGCTGGTTCTGCTGGGCTGTGTGAGACACATCTTCATTTTTGTATTAGGTACCACAATTAGGGAGTGCTCACCTGCAATACCTGGATAGGGCTCTTCCAGATCTCTGCCCTCAAATATTTTGCTTCCGTATAGGAGTTGAGGGGAAATAACATGGCGCTAGGAGGTCAAATAATACTTGGGGTTCTGCTTGGTTTGATTATCTTGTTTGATTTCACACTATTTGCCTACTGTTCTGATTTTTCTGCTTTTTCTCTTAAATCAGGAGTGGGATATAAAATCCTGTCACTGTGTCCTGTTAATTTCACAGCACTATTAGGGGAATAAACTGTGAGAAGCTTGTTTCTCCTTGAAACTATTTTGTAAATATGGACGATAACTGATTCTACATTCAGGTCTTTTTTTTAATCTTGTGAAGACATAAAATGTCTCTTTAAGACTAGCTAAATTTTACTTCTTTTTACTTGTAAAGCCTTTAACTTGTCAGATCTTAGTAAGAAAGAATATTCCATATAGTTGCTCTGCATTTTTTTGTTAAAAGTATAATCTTCATTGCTTTTGCCGTACTTTTTAAGTTCCTTGAAAATTAGTATGTGTACTAGATCTTTTCCTCTATCTTTAACTGTAGCACTGTAGCACTGTCCTCCCGTTGTTCATCAATTTGCTTGAGCGGGCACCAGTAGCAACACTGTGAGACTTGTTGTTACTGTTGTCGGGAGCTTGCCAGGCTCTGCTTTGCAGGCAGGATACTCTTGGTAGCTTGTCGGGCTCTCCGAGAGGGACAGAGAAATTGAACCTGGGTCAGCCGCGTGTAAGGCAAACGCCGTACCCGCTGTGCTATCGCCTGAAGTTCTTTTTATTGCTGTGCTTTTAATTTGGGGTGCCATCCCCAACTGGGCTCAGGGCTTACTCTGGATTCTAAGTTCAGGGATCACTCCTGGTGGGCTCAGGGAACCATGTGCCTGGGATCAAACTCTGTCATTAGTACATGCTGTACTATGACTCCAGCCACCATCTGGTGAATTTTTTTGCAAGAGAGAAGGGACTTGGGGCTGGAGTGATAGCACAGTGCGTAGGATGTTTCTCTTGCATGGGGTCGACCCAGGTTTGATTCCTCCGTCCCTGTCTTTAACATTGGTGAGAAATTTAAAAGCACTGCATGTTTAGCAAGAAGTAGAGGGAAAGGATGTCAACCCTGGATCATGTTCAAGATAAGTAGTCTTTTTGAGGAATTTCCTTTCTGTCTTCTAAAACATGTTTCTGCTTTAGCATTTCACTTCCCTTTCCTGCTTCTTTAATTTTGAGATCATGTACTAATAGGTGAGCTTGTATGCTGTTCTTGTTTTTAGGTTGCTCTTAATGAGAACAAAACCAATCCTATGGAGCATGACCAGAAATCTTTGAAACAGATTTAGAAAGAAAGAAATTTCAAACTAGATTACTGTGCTTAAACTTGATATATCAAATTGGTTGTCTCTGGGAGAGGAAAAAAACTGGGAAATAGAGAACTTCAGTCCCCTTTCTCAAAAAGGGGAGCACTTGTTAATTTGAGGGCATAGTTACTTAAGTATTTTTTTTCTATTGTTCTTGTACCTTTCTGTGCTTTTAGACGTCTCAAAGAATAGAAGGGAGATTATGTGAACAAATAATAGTAATCTGTTACATGTTGTGTGTAGTCAAATCCCAAGATGATGTTCATTCAGCTTAGTTTCCAGAAAGACTTTAACTGGAGAGGGAACATTTGAATTTGACCTATTGATCATCAACAGAAATACTTTTTTTTTTTTTTTTTTTGCTTTCCTGTCATGCAGTGAATGTTCTAAGTGTGCTGACTTGTTTTGGTTGTTTGAACTTCTGGAAGCTGGTACTCTTTCTGTAAAACTGTGGAAATTACTGACAATCTAGGCCTTGGAAGAAGGTATTATAAAATCTTAACTCTGTTACTAGCTCTGTGCTAGCAGCAAAGAAAGATGCTGCTATTTAAGTAACTTGATTGTAAATGATAATGTTAAATAAAAAAAGTTATGATTATGCCATAAGATTATGTACATTTTTCCTATATATTTTAAGTTTTTATAAACACATGTTCCCATCTATATGACCTAAAATGTTTTAGTTTAGAAAGTCACATAGCCAAATGCTCATCAGCAAATTTTGCACTTTAACAAAATATAATTCTTTGTGGCCAGTAGGTGAACATCACAGAAATTATGTTGAATGAGAGAAAAGACACAAAAAGAAATATTCATTATAGACCGGCAAGACAAATCTACAGTGTTGTTAACATAATCATTACCCTTTGGGTTGGGAGTTTAGGAGAAAGATACATTGGGAGGATTCGGGGGGGTTTGTTTCTGAGTATTAGTTATATGCATATGTTTGATTTATGAAAATTGATCAAGCTGTACATTTATGAGTTGTATACTTTTTTATGCATGCATGTTATTCAAAGTATTTCCCCAAAAGTTACCTAAGTAATAAGGTTCTCTAGTAGTAGTAGTAGTAGTAGTAGTAGTAGTAGTATCTATCCACTTACACTATGAGAAAAAAACCTCAAAGTAGTTTTCTTTTTTTTGGGGGGGGGGGTCACACCTGGCGATGCACAGGGGTTTACTCCTGGCTCTGTGCTCAGGAATTACCCCTGGTGGTGCTCAGGGGACCATATGGGATGCTGGGAATCAAACCCAGGTTGGCCGCATGCAAGGCAAACACCCTACCTGCTGTGCTATTGCTCCAGCCCTGAAAAAGTTGTTTTCTTTATATTTGAAATGTTTTCATTATCCCATTTTGATTCAGGGTACAGTTTGATACCACATTTATGAATATATATACTTTAACCATAATTATATAAGCAGTGACACATATTTCTTTAAGAATAGTTTAACCACACACTATTTCAAAAGCATATTTATTACCTATGGCAATATTTCTCATAACACTTTAGCAGTTTTCAATTAACTATAGTCTGAATTTGGATTTATGTTGTAGTGACCACTTGATTTTTTTTTTTTTGGTTTGTATAAGAATAATTGTCCGAATGTGATTTGTTGATTACTCTGAATACCCATGTTAGATATTATGAAATATTGCCCTGCCTTTATGAGTTTTTATCTATGGCCCATTTATTTCTACCACATTTAAACTTTTCTGACTCAGATTTTATATATTTGAATTATGTCAAGATTGTGTGTGTGTATGTGTGTGTGTGTGTGTGTACAAGTGTGTGTGTGTGTGTGTGTGTGTGTGTACAAGTGTGTGCACATGCCTGGGATTGAACCTAGGACCTCACACATACAAGGCATTGGCTCTAACTGCTGAATCTTATCCCTGGCTTTCTTTCAGTTTAAAGAATAAATGTTATTGTGTTCAATTTTTGTTCTCAATCTCTTTTGTTTTGTATTATTTCTGCCTACTTCAGTTTTTCTTAGTAATTTTCTAGTTATCCTCTGTAGCAGTGTAGCACTGTCCCGTTGTTCATCGATTTGCTCGAGCGGTTACCAGTAACGTCTCACAACAAATTGTGAGACTTGTTGTTACTGTTTTTGGCATATTGAATACGTCACGGGTAGCTCGCCAGGCTTTGTGGTGTGGGCGAGATGCTCTCGGTAGCTTGCCGGGCTCTCTTGAGAGGGGCAGAGGAATCGAACCCGGGTCGGCTGCATGCAAGGCAAACGCCCTACCCGCTGTGCTATCACTCCAGCCCTAGTTATCCTCAGTTAACAAAAATACTATTCTTTAGTAAGTTTGTCGTCCTTGTGATTTTTGCAGTACTTTTTAAGCTTTTATATATTCTACATTATAGATAGAATAAAATCTGGTAAGTTACTTTGTTGGAGCAGAGTGCTTTGGTTGGGCAAAAACATAGGCCAGAATGCTCACCAAGGTAAATATCCCTTTGTTAGCACTTCCTGGTCAGTGTGTTTTCACTTTTTCTCGGCTTTTAGGCAGCATTACAGAAACAACAGGAAGTCGCAGTTGCTGGGGCATCTTTGCCTACATCATCAAAAGTGAATGCAACTGTAGCAAATGATGTGATGTCAGTTAATGGACAGGCCAAAACAAACGCTGACAATCCTGAAAAAGAGCTTGAACCTGAAGCTGCAGAAGAAGTCCTAGAGAATGGACCAAAAGGTATGATTCGGCATATGTGTTTTTCCATCCAGACTTCCACCATAATTCAGACTTAATGAAAAGGTTGGATTCACTACTTTTGGAAGTTGAATGCTTGGTCACCCTTTGTAGTCTGAAATGGATGCTTCTGGATGACCTCATTGTACATGTCTCAAACACTTTGGGTTATTATATATGTTGTTGCTGTCTGACAAATAATGTCCAAGTTTAATGACTTAAAAATGATCATTTGATTAAGTTTTCATGGATCAGAAATTTAAGAACAGTTTGGCTCAGTTGGCAGTGGCTCTGGTCTGTGAGGTTGCAGTGAAAATGAAGTCAGATATAGTTAGATGGAGTAAAAATGAAGATGACTGGAGTAACGGATCTGCTTTCAAAATGGGGTCCCTCACCTGAGACTGGCTATTGTCAAGAGACCTCCATTACTTGCCCTGCGATGTTACCCATAGGGCTACATGAGTGTCCTCAGCATCACATCTCATTGTCTATTTAAGTGTTGTACTTCCTCCAGACTTCATGACCCCAAAGAGAATTAAAGTGACAGTATCTTTTATGGCCTAGATTTGGAGGTAATCTCTCAGTACCTCTGCTGTATTCTTTTGAGCACACACACCATTTCTGATTCATTGTGGGTGATGATCTTACACGTGTGAAATACCCAGAGGTGGATCAGAGGTGTGCGCAAGTGGTGGGATACGTGCTTTGCATGTGTGAGGCCTTGCGTTCCATCTCTGGTGCTGCCTGGCCCTTCAGTGCTGCCAGATGTGGCCCCCACAGTAGCAGAAGATAAATGGGGCAAGGATTACCAAGAACTGTCATGGAGGCTGATTACCATAATGGCAATATATATTTTTTTGAAATGAAGATAACTCAGCAGCTTCAAAACTCTGCTGTTATTTCATGGCAAATCATTCAGCAGTTAGTTGAGATATTTTTGAGTGCTAGGAAAGGCAAAATAACACATAAAATATGAAATTGTTTCTGTGACAAGTACTGTGCTGGGGATGAAGAAAGGGGTGCGTTATTGTTTGAGAACATGTAATGTGAAGAATTTGACCAAGTCAGAGAGGTCACCTGTCTATCTTTGTGAATGACAAATCATTTGAAATACCTGAAACATGAGTAAGATTTAATAAAGAGAAGAGCACACCAGTGACAATGGTGAGAGACGGTGGTGGAGATTGTAAGAAAGTTGGTTTCAGAGCTGGGGAAAAAGGAGGAGGAGGACTTGCCTTGTATTCTGTTCCCAGAACTGTGTTCTCTCAGCCCCAGGCAATTAAAAGTATGGTTCCACAACCCCCATGTATGGCCCCATCACCCCACCACAGCACTGCTTGGCCTCCCTTTAAAAAGAAAAACATTGGCTGCTTGTCATTTTAGAATAAGTAGCACTGTAGCACTGTTATCCTGTTGTTCATCAATTTGCTCAAGCAGGCACCAGTAACATTTCCATTGTGAGACTTGTTACTGTTTTTAACATACTGAATTCATGATGGGGAGCTTGCCAGACTCTGCCGTGCAGGCGGGATACTCGGTAGCTTGCCAGGCTCTCCGAGAAGGTCGGAGGAATCGAACCCAGGTCGGCCGGGTGCAAGGCAAACACCCTACCCGCTATCTCTCCAGCCCCTTAGAATAAGTAACAGAAAATAACTTTAGGGCTGAGAGAGAACTCCATGGACTGAGCGCATATTTGCATACAGGGGACCCAGGTTTGATCCCTGGCACCACATGCTCCTCTGATGACCCTTGAAATTCCCTCCGTGCCCTGACCCTCTGCATCCCAACATTAAGAGATTTCACCCTCATTTTCAAACTAGTGTTTTTTTGTGTTTTGTTTTTGCAGTGCCAGGAATCAAATCCAGGGCCTCCTACATGAAAGGCAAGTGTTCTAGCTCTAAGCTATGCCCCTGGCTCAAGCATTTACCAGTATTTTCTGGATATTTTGTCCAGAGCCCTAGATCCTGCTTGTTAGCAAAATTTCGCCCTTTTCACTCAGCCCTGTGTGGTTTCAGTTTGACCGAAATTTTTCTGTTTATTTGCACTCCTTTAGAAAACCCCCAAAACTATGAGATACTCAGAGGCCAAGACTTTTCTTTCCACATAGAGACTAAAATGAAAGCTTCAAACTCAGCAAAAATGAGTTTATCCTTAAATTCATATCTCTTCCTTTAGAAAGTTCCTCAGCTCCAATGAGGAAGTTTATAAGGTCATTCTTAAAATATTTAAATTACTTAAAATAATTTAAAATATTTAAGTATAAAATACTTAAAGTATTTAAAATACTTAAATGAAAGGTCTTTCTTACTTAAAATATTTAATTGATCATTGGGGTAAAATTCACGAAGATTATAAATTGCTTTGTTACTTGAAGTAGTAGGATGACCTCTGAGTACCTGTGGCATTGTAAATGTGGTGCTTTGAGGGGAGACTTAGGTCACTGGGTGTGAGGTGAGGTGCACAGTGCCTCAGCTGGTTGTGGGCACTGGCCACCTGCAGCTGTTGCTGCCTGCTCTTGTGGGCTCTGCCTCTTCAGCTTTTGTAATTTTTGTTGCCTTTAGACTCTCTTCCAGCCATAGCAGCGCCATCCATGTGGACACGACCCCAGATCAAAGACTTTAAAGAAAAGATTCGACAGGATGCAGATTCTGTGATTACAGTGGGCCGAGGAGAAGTGGTCACTGTCCGAGTCCCCACCCATGAAGAAGGATCATACCTCTTTTGGGAATTTGCGACAGACCATTATGACATTGGGTTTGGGGTATATTTTGAATGGACAGATTCTCCCAACACTGCTGTCAGTGTGCACGTCAGTGAGTCCAGCGATGACGAGGAGGAGGAAGAAGGTAGAGCTGTTGGTCCAGATTCAGTAGCTGCTGGGTTTTGTATTGGCGGCAGTGACGGGGGTTCCACTGTCAGCCAGCCATGCTTCACGGACAGGACTCGATCTCTTGCTTGGTGAGATTGAGGCTGAAAGTTGTGAGAGGGGCCAGCATCTTATAGGCAGTGTTCCCTGTCGGCTCCCAGGATACTCCACAGGTGAAAGTCACATAAATGGGGGCAGCGACATGAGACTTGGGGGCCACTTGATAGGACAAGGGACAGCAGGACGGAAAGAGGTTGGGAGTGAGATTGAGAGCTCAAGGACTTGGGGCCAATCCTGAATGTACCTTATCGCTGGTAACAGCTGTCTGACAATTTCACTGCTCTTTTTATGTTATTTTATACCTTCCAGCCTTGGGTGTTGAAAATCTTAATATGCAAGGAAGTCATTTTGAAAAAATGGTAAAAGAGCAAACAAGAAATTCTGCCACCTTTGAAATTTGTATAAATTTATATTCTGATACTAGTTTTTTAAGTTGTTATAGCAAAGATACTTTTTAAATGGTAATAAAATTACCACCTTTTGGTTCCAGAATACCAGAACATCTGATAATTTTTATTTTTAATTTTTTCAGTTGTCTTTTTTTTTTTTTCCTTTTGGGTCACACCTGGCTCACCAGGAGTAATTCCTGGCTCAGGAATTACTCCCAGTGGTGCTCAAGGGACCATATAGGATGCTGGGAATTGAACCCAGGTTGGCCGCATGCAGGACAAATGCCCTACCCACTGTGCTATTGCTCCAGCCCCTGTTCTTCCCTTTTAAAATCCCTGTTTAACATTTTTTTTTCAATAAGTAGATAGAATTGGATATTTCCAGTGATCATGTCTGTATTTGTCTAGAAAGTAGGTTATAAAATGTACTGCTTATTTGAGAAGATAGTCCCACCCCACAGTTCTCTTATGCAGAGAATTTCAAAGTTGGGTCAGAGCACACCAGGAGCCAACGCCGAGTATTGATTTGGAAGGGCCTTCTCAATTCCTTGAACTGAACCGACCTTTCAGGTGTCTTGTGACTCAGTGCTTGTTCCTGTTGTTGGTCAGTCATGTTTTTACACAGGAGATTGTGTTGGGCTCAATCTCAAGAGGGGCAGGTACACGAAGGGAGGCTGAAAGTGCCGTCACCTTTTGAGGTGTACGTTCCATTCAGTCATTCCCAGACATCCATGGCTCTGGCCCTCTGATGTTATGTCTGGAAACACACATATAAAGGCTAGTACCGTTCGGGAATTCTTTGTCTTGTATGGCATTTTAGTTTCATTGATCTTTATTTCTGAGTGCTACCACTAGCCAGAGAAACACATTGCCCACAAGTACTGTTGACTTAACTAGAGAGAACTGCAGAAATGTAATAATCCAGGCCCTGAGAGTGCTATGAGGCAGATTGTAGATCAAGGGGCTGCTTCCATACCCCTCAGCAACACCAGGACCCTGGCCTGGACCCTGTAATGACCTTCCTTCTTGTGTTTTGTTTCTTGTTTCTGGGTCACATCCAACAGTGCTCAGAGTGCAGGGCAAGCACCCTACCTGCTGTACTTTGCTCCAACTCCAGTATTGGCCTTTCTGATGCAGCACAGGCTCTCATTCAAAACAGACAATTCGGGACTGGAAAGAGAGTACAGTAGATAAGGCATTTGCCTTGTTTGTGCCTGGACCCAGGTTTGATCCCTGGGTTTGATCATACGGTCCTCAGCATAGCTGGGTGTGGTCCAGAAACCAGAGGGGTGTAAACAAAACTGTTTCTGCGAAGATCTAGGAAGGATGTTCTATGTATGTGGACATCATTGTATAAAGAACTTTGTGAGTAATGATGGCAGTGTATGTTCAGCAGTAGGTTGGGGTGTGACCCAGAGGAAAAGCGCGTGCCTCTCCTTAGCTCTGCTAAGTGATTTAACTCACAAACTACATTTCTCAGTATGTCATGTGCCTCCTTAACAGAGGTAGCTATGCCACCATGTCTTGGAAAAGTCGTGCATTTTCTGGTGGTACAGTGAACTTTATAATTAGACTGATATTAGATATAGAAAAAAGTTGCAATGAGTTTCTATATATTCTGGGGCCAGGGTGTGTTTGCCTTACATGAAGCAAACCTAGGTTTAATCCCCAGCATCCCATATAGTTCCCCGGGCACCACCAGCAGTAATTCCTGAGTGCAGATCCAAGAGTAACCCCGAGCATCACTGGGTGTGACCCAAACAAACAAAAAAGAATCTGTTATTAAGAAAAAAAAAGTTTCTATATATTCCACACCCAGTTTCTTTTTCTATTGTTAATATGGTACTATGATACATTCATAAATTGCTAGTGTTCACTTATTAACATTCCATATTCAAATTTCATAAGTTTTTGTTTAATTTTCCAGGATCCTATCCAATATGCCACCTTATAGATACAGTTCATGTCTTGCTCTACTCTTCAAGACAGTTTCTTAGCCTTTCCTTGGAAAGTCCGACAAATGGATATTAACAATCATCAAGTTAGCTCCTATTTCCCCGGTTCACTCTGCAAATTATAAATCTGAAGTCTTTTTTTTTTATCTTCTATGCTTACATAGTCCCTTGATCTATTTTCCTTGAGATTATTTATTATTTCAAACTGAAACTTCATTCTTATTCTCTCTTGTTTTCTTGGGAACTTTTCAATACTGTGCGTTGAACCCAGAATCACACATGCAGAGCATGCCCTCTGCCACAAAGACCCATCCCTGGCCCTATTCCTATAGATGGAGAAGTCTTTTTCCTTGAACCTTGTGTCATTATAACTCAGACTTCCACTGGTGGTTAACACAGAGTGGCCCAGACCCTCACTGTGTATGGTACACAGCAGTTGCTCAGATGTATGAGCAAATGAAAGAATAACTAGATACATTTTCCATGTACATAAATTGTAGAGTAGGGGCTGGAGCGATAGCACAGCGGGTAGGGCGTTTTCCTTACATGCAGCTGATCTGGGTTCGATTACCAGCATCCCATATGGTCCCCCAAACACCACCAGGAGTAATTCCTGAATGCAGAGCCAGGAGTTATCCCTGTGCATCGCTGGGTATGACCCAAAAAGCAAAACAAACAAATCCATAAATAGTAGAGTAGACTGAGAGAATTTCAGTGAATAAATTCTCAAAGAATCAAGGTTTCACTGCTTGGGATTTTAACCTGGGTTTTTAAAATCACAATTTCCCTGGATCTGCTCACTGTCTCCTCTCTGCTTTCTCACAGAAAACATCACTTGTGACGATAAAGCCAAAAAGAATGCCAACAAGCCTCTGCTGGATGAGATTGTGCCTGTGTACCGACGGGACTGTCACGAAGAAGTATATGCCGGCAGCCACCAATATCCAGGGAGAGGAGTCTATCTCCTCAAGTTTGACAACTCCTACTCATTGTGGAGGTCAAAATCTGTCTACTACAGAGTCTATTATACTAGATAAAAATGTTGTTACAGGGTTGGGCAGAGGAAAGCATTTAATTTGGAAATTTCTTTTGACTTTTGTGGAGCATTGCAGTCTGTGTTTACCCTATTGATTTTGGTCTGATGGTCTGCAAACTCACTGGGAATCAGATTTCCTTGAGACTCTTGAGCATTCATACATTCGGGTAGAAGGGAGTCCTGAGACTCGTCCAGCCCGTGGGTGCTCACCAGCAGAGTCATTAGTGGATGCTGAAGTTATATGAGCTATGTGTTAAATCTTGAAAGTCTCCCAAATAAAATATCCCAACATTGACCCCACTGGCTGATGGTTAGTCCATTGCTGCCTGCTGTGTTTTCTGCAAACCCATAGTTAGAGTGCTCTCTCATTTGAAATCCTTATGTTCATAATATGCATGAGGTGAAGATGATTTTGATGAAAGATCGCCACTTTTTAAATTAAAAACTAAGATTCTCATGATGGGAAAAGAGGTAGTCATCTTGACTTGTTCTGAATGGCAGATCATTTTTTACCTTGGGTGCAGCTGTTTAGCTGAGTGATATGTTACAGGGAGCTTTTTTGACATCATCTTAAGATAGACTATTCAAATCTAATTTATAGTTGAAATCCCAATATAAGAACATCTCAGATATCCTTCTTTGTAAGCCTCCACACACTTGGATTCTTTTCACGTGTTCATACCGCTGGTAGTAGAGCAGATGCGGTTTGTTTTTTCTTGATTTGGCTTTGTATACAAGAGCATATCAAGTTGAACCTTTCTAACACAAGTATGTAGTTGGGGATTTTGTTAACTCGGATTGGCAACTATTAAATAAAAACATAAATTGATATAAGTACAATGCAGTGTATGGGGAATAACATTGCACTAATAGGAAAATCACTGCCAGAGATATAGTGTGTGTTCCTTTATTTTGTTACTAAAACACAAACTCTACATGATTCATATGCCATGCTTAAATTTTTTATAGCTTTAATCTGTATTATGTCTTTATTGATGGGATGAGTTACATCTTTGTTTTCCTTACTTGAAAACAAATATGAATTAATTGCCTCAAATTCATGTGATTGACTACTCTAGAAATTGTTTTCAGGAGGGAGGGTAATTGTAGGTAGAAAGCGACAAAGATGGCAATATACACATAACATGCTTATTCTGTTACTGAAATACATAGATTTTTAAATTTTCAAATCATAAGACACTTCTAGTAGGGTTTCCATTGATAAGCTGCAGTATATACATGTCACTACATAAGGGATTTTTGTGTGTGTGCTATATTTCTGTTTTTTGATACCTAGTTTTGTACCTATTAACTCTGTTTAGGTTACTCTGAAACTGGATTATTTTCTCTTAAGCAGTGTTTTATTTGTGTTTTTAGATTTGATTTTGGTAGCCCCAGCTCACAGGTATCCACGCTGTTACATCCAGGATTGTCATCAGGTCATCCATCAACTCCTTGTATATATGGTATAGAAACCACGGGGTTAGGCACTTACTGGCTTTTTTTTTTTTTAATGAGAAAAATACTGTATTTAAGATGTAAAATAAACTTGTAAAAGCAGGCACTAATATATATTTCTTCTAGCCTTTGATTACAGGTTTGTCCTTGCATATATTAAGATGAATTCTCTTCTAAAAATATCATTGTTCTTGGGAGCAGTGTATGTTACTTTACATAGCAGTAATTCCTGTCTTGTGTTCATATAAGAACATTTTTGGTTTTAAACTTTTTTATTGCCTTTGGCTGTTGATTAGTACAGTACAAATACAATTTCAAAAAGATCTTGAAAATAATATATTTAATCAATTAAACCGTTTATCTGTAACTTGTTGATGTTTTATTAATGTACTTACACTCTAAAGTAGTCTGTATTTCATCAGTTGGGTAGTAGGGCAAAAAGGCTTTAAAATATTTTTCTGGGGCCCAGAGCAATAGTACAAGTAGGTAAGGCGCTTGCTTCTCTTGCATGCAGCCAACCCAGGTACCGCCCCTGTGACCCCATATGCTCACCCAAGCCCACCAGGAGTGATCCCTGAGCACCTCTGTGCATTCCCCATCCCCCAAAATAGTTTGACTTCTTGATGGGTGGCACTGACTTTTTTTTTTGAAACCAACCCAGTGGTGCTAGAGAGACCTCCAAGCCTCAACCCATTGGTGCTAGGGGAAGTATATATTGCCAGGGATTGAACCCTTGTCTCTTGCATACTAAGCATGTACTCCAGCATGAATACCAGCCCTTTGAATCATCTTTTGGGCCCAGGGCTGACTTTGCTTACTAAAAAGTAACTTTACCAAAAAAAATTTTTTTTTTGTTTCAGCCATGTGAGTAACATGTTCTTTGAAATGCACAGGGCAACCTACTTTAAAGTTGTTCCCAGAATGTCACACCTACAGGGCCGCAATAAACAAGTGCCCCATTATTGGAGTTCCAGGAACTTGTAAAAATGATTGCGACATGATTTGGATCCTTTTTTGCTTGTTTAAGTTTATTTGGGTTTTGGGCCACACCCAGCTATGTTCAGAACTTACTTCTGCAGTGCTCAAGGAACCATATGCAGTGCAGGGGATTGAACCAGGGTCTGCCACATGCAAGGCAAGTGCTTTACTCCTTGTACTGTGTCTCTCGCTCTTTGTTTAAATTTGGAGAACAGGAACTAGATAATCTTGGATTTGTTTTTGTTTTTTATTTTTTTGTTACATTGGAGTACCATGAAGAATACCAGAGAAGAGTCAAGGATTGAGGTGTTGATGTGTGAGTACATCTTAGAAATGTGCTGGAGGAATCAGTTCAGAGTAATAAGTGATGGTGACTCCTCAGAACATAGAGTACAGCTGTCTGTAACCCAGAACCTCATTATGACCACCCTGGCTTTTCTGAGATCAACACTTTTACCTGCAACCTGGAAAAGTACTCAGGTGTTCATGGGCAGATTAACCTCCATTCACTCAAAATGTTAGGTTTGTTTTTTCCCTTAGGTATATTTGCTTAGGTTCTTTAACTTTCTGAGCGGAAGTATTTTTTAAGTCCAAGTTGGTTATTTAATTTTTGATACCCCATATTTTTGGATTTATGATATTTTCTATTTTCATAGGCTGGAGCAATAGCACAGCGGGTAGAGCGTTTGCCTTGCACGCAGCCAACCCGGGTTCAATTCCTCCATCCCTTTCAAGAGCCCGGCAAGCTACCGAGAGTATCTCACCCTCACGGTAGAGCCTAGCAAGCTCCCTGTGGCATATTCGATATGCCAAAAACAGTAACAACAAGTCTCAAAATTTGTTGTGAGACGTTATGGGTGCCCACTCGAGCAAATCGATGAACAACAGGAGGACAGTGCTACAGTGCATAATATTTTCATTATTTCAGGTGCTTTATTTGGCTTGATTAGAGGGACAGTTGGGGGGCCACGCCTGGTGCTTTGTCAAGCTCAGCGTCTACCCAGGCTTTGAACTATCTCTCCAACCCTTGGAATTGTTTTATAGTAAAAAAAGCTGTCAGGGCTAGAGTGATTGTACAGTACAGCAGGGCGCTTGCCTTGCACGCAGTGGATTTGGGTTCGATCCCTGGCATCCCATATGGTCCTCTGAGCATTGCCAGAAGTAATTCTTGAGTGCAGAGCCAGGAGTAACCCGTGAGCATTGTTGGTTATGGCCCCAAAACAACCAAAAAGAAAAATAAAACCTTAAAGCTGCAGCCTTTTTCTTTTTTGTCTTTGAGACCCTCCTGGTATTCCTCAGGGGTTGGTTACTCCTGACTCTGCACTCAGGAATCACTCTTGGCGGCTCATATTGGATACTGATGCAAGGCAGATGCCCTGACAACTGTACTATTGTTCTGGCCCATCATTTTTATTGACTTAACCATTTGGTAATGGTTTGATTAAGGTATTTAATTCACTGTCAGGAAACTAAGTGGCTGGCTTTTTCAGAATTCACATCACATTCCCATTTGGTAAAATTGAGTAAAATACATATCGGCCAGATTAACTCATTTCTTGTAGCTATAATGAAAGCTTGCAGGGGATTGCTTAATTCAACCCTGGGAGAAACTAATAACATACAAGTCTTTCTGGAAATACATACACATTTTCAATGCTGATATTTTTTAAAACCTTTAATGGCACATTGCACAATTTGTAACAGTTTTTATCCTTGACTAAGATCATTCAGATAATCTCCCAAGTTTTTCCACCACTACAACCAACCCCTGTAGCAAATTTGTAAATTGTGTGTATGTGTTTTATATAAATAAGGTCAACTTTTTGCAGCTTTGGAGATTTCACCTGCATTTGGAGCAACTCAGCTACATTCCTTTTTATCAGCAATGTATTCTTTGTAGAATGACTCTCAGGCCTTTTTCCTGTCATTGAAATGTTTGACTATTTCATTTTCATTATAAGTGATTTTCCAGTGAACTCTCTTATTACCAAACTTTATTTTTTTGTCTGTCTAATGGTTTGGTGGGTGAATCATTGTAATATGCATCTCCCTGGGGCTGGAGCAATTTGCACAGCGGGTAGGGCATTTGCCTTGCACGTGGCTGACCTGGGTTCGATTCCCAGCATCCCATATGATCCCCTGAGCACCGCCAGGGGTAATGCCTGAGTGCAGAGCCAGAAGTAACCCCTGTGCATCACCGGGTGTGACCCCAAAAAAAAAATGTGTCTCCCTTATAACTAGGAAGGTTGTCTTTATTGCAGGCACCACCACTCATTGGCACTCAGAAGACCTAGAAGTACCAGGGCTTTGAACCCAGGGCTCCTCTCTACAAAACATGTGCTCCATCCATCGGTCATCTTTCTGAGCCTTTTTTTTTTTTAATCATTTGTATTTCCTCTGTATTGTATTATTTACCCATTTTTTATTTGGGTAATCTTTATATTGACTTACTGGCATTTAAAATTTGAGGGCCTGGGGGCTGCAGAGATAGCAAAGCTGGTAGGGCGTTTGCCTTGCACGCAGCTGGCCCAGGTTCGATTCCCAGATCCTATATGGTCCCCTGAGCACTGCCAGGAGTGATTCCTGAGTGCAGAGCCAGGAGTAACCCCTGTGCATCGCCGGGTGTGACCCAAAAAGCAAAAATAAATAAAAATAAAATTTGAGGGCCTGAAATAGGGGGCAGGGCGCTTGCCTTGCATGTGGCCAACCCAGGTTCAGTCCCCACATACAGTCCTCTGAGCCCTGCCAGGGGTGATCTCTGAGTGCAGAGAGAGGAATAAATCAATAAATCATGAGCATGTTGGATGTGAAGATGCCCCCCCCCTTTTTTTTGTTTTTTTGGGGGGTTTTTTGGGGGTTTTTTTTGTTTGTTTGTTTGTTTGTTTTGCATAAGGTAGCCAGAAAGATAGTACAAAGATTAAGGTGTTTGCCTTGCATGTGACTCACCTCTCTTTGATCCCTCACACCCCTGAGTACCATCAGGAGTGATCCTGAGCACTGACAGTTGTGGCTTTGCTGCTTACTTAAACTCTGCCCCCCCCCCCATGTTGTTTTATCTCATTTTTTCCTTGCATTTTACTTATTTCTAGTAAAGTAAAGGCCTTCCCGTTGATCATCAGTTTGCTCGAGCGGGCCCAGTAACGTCTCCATTGGAGACTTTGTTGTTACTGTGTTTGGCATATTGAATACGTCACGGGGAGCTTGCCAGGCCCTGCCATGCGAGCGAGATACTCTCGGTAGCTTGCCGGGCTCTCCGAGAGGGGCGGAGGAATCGAACTCGGGTCGGCCATGTTGGCTCCGTGCAAGGCAAACGCCCTACCGCTGTGCTATCGCTCCAGCCCTACTTATTTCTAAGCATTCAAATCTTTGTTTCAGAATTCTGTTCCCTTTACCTATTTGACCATTTGTGTGCTAAATTGCTCTAGTTGTTTGTGGAGCTTTTTTCTTACAGCGGGGCCTAGAAGCGCTCAAGAGAGCCTGTGGTGCCGGGTGTCAAACCCCTGGCTCCTGCTGTATGTAAAGCATGTGCTCCACCCTACTGAGCTGTCTTCCTAGTCCTAACTTACTCTAGCTTTAAGATCTATTTTGATACACAGCAAATCTCCCCCGTCCTCCTTTTTGGTGGAGGTGTAGAGGGGAAGGACACACTTGTTCCTTGGGAGCTATTCCTAGCACAGTGTGACCAAACGTGGGCTTCCACTTACAAAAACAATGCACTCTTTGATCTCTGTCCCTAGCCCAAGGTGGGGTTTTGGGTTTGGGGCCACACCCAGCTGTGTTCAGGGCTTACTTGTGGCGGTGCATAGGGGACCATATGGGATGTCAGGGATGGAACCTCAGCCAGCAGAAAGTGCCCTGCTCGGCCTCCCAAGTGTGTGCAGGTTTTTTTTTTTTTTTGCAGTTCTAGGAATTAAATCGAGGTCTCATGGGTACAGACCAAGCCTCACCTGGTCTTAGCCCTCCTGGGTTTTTTTTTACATTTTCTAGGCTCTTTGTATGTCTTTCCTATACTTCAGGAAAAATCTGAGTGGGATTTGCCATAAAATACTGGATTGAGGAGTTGGAGCCATACTACAGTGGGTAGGGCCTTTGCCTTCCACACAGCCTACCCAGGTTCGATTCCCAGCATCCCATATGGTCCACCGAGCACCACCAGGAGTAATTCCAGAGTGCAAAGCCAGGAGTAACCCCCCATGCATCGCCAGGTGTAACCCAGAAAGCAAATTATATATACATATATATATTTTTTTTAATTTCTAACTGCTGGATATGCTGTATTTATTTGGGGGGGGG